GTCCCCCCTGCCTGTCCCCGCAGTGTCGGCGCTGGCCCGGCTCTACGGGCTGGAGGAGGAGCTGTCCGAGGTGGCCCGGCGGGGCTCGGGCAGTGCCTGCCGCAGCATGTTCGGGGGCTTCGTGCAGTGGCAGCGCGGGGAGCGCCCCGATGGCACCGACAGCCTGGCCCTCCAGGTGGCCCCCGAGACGCACTGGCCGGAGCTCCGCGTCCTCGTCCTGGTGGTGAGGGGCTGGCAGGGGATTTGGGTGGGATTTGGGACGTGGGGGGCTCAGGAGGGGCCGTGTCCCAGTGCCTGTGTCCCCCCAGGTCAGTGGGGAGAAGAAGCCGGTGGGCAGCACGGCAGGCATGCAGACCAGTGTGGAGACCAGTCCCCTGCTGAAGGTAGGGGGACATGGGACTTGTCCTGCCTGGGCAGGGACAGGGTCCCCTTTCCCTTAGAATGGGGCTGGAGGGGTTGCAGTGACACCCAGAGGGTCGTGGCGCTGTGAGTGTCACCAAACTGGGGGGACAATGACCTTCCTCCTATGGGTATCCCCAAATTCGGGGTGACCACAACCCACCCGTTGTGGATGTCACCAAATCGGGGTAACCGTGACCCTCCTGCCATGGGTGTCACTAAACCAGGGTGGCCACACCCTGCCTGCTGTGGTTGTCACTGATTTGGGGCGACCGCGACCCGCCTGCCGTGGGTGTCACTGCGCCGATGGTGACCCCCCTGCTGTGGCAGCACCGGGCAGAGGTGGTGGTCCCCGAGCGCCTGGCCCAGATGATGCAGCACATCCGGGACCGTGACTTTGAGGGCTTTGGCCAGCTGGCCATGAGGGACAGCAACCAGTTCCACGCCACCTGCCTCGACACCTTCCCGCCCATCTTCTACCTGACGGACGTGTCGCGCCACGTCATCGCGCTGGCACACCGCTACAACGCCCACCACGGCCACACCAAGGTACCCACAGGGCCCTAGGGGCTGCCACACGACCCTTGTGCAGGTCCCCATGTCCCCACCGTGCCCCCGCAGGTCGCCTACACCTTCGACGCCGGCCCCAACGCCGTCATCTTCGCGCTGGCCGACACCGTGGCCGAGTTCGTGGAGGTGGTGAGGCGCAGCTTCCCCCCGGCCACCAACGGGGACCAGTAAGGGAACCCCGCTGCTTCCCGGGGTGCTGGGGACGCTGGGGACGCTGGGGACAGGGGCACTGAGCGCTGGCCGTGCCGCAGGTTTGTCCGGGGGCTGCCCGTGGGCCCGGCCGCGCTGCCGCGGGAGCTGGAGGGCGCCGTGCTGGCCGAGCCCGTGCCGGGGGCTGTGCACTACATCCTGCACACCAAGGTGAGCCTGGGGCTGGGGCACGGCCACCGGGGGGGACACGGCCTCTCAGGGGGGGTCTGACCACATCCCTGGCCCCAAGGGGGTGGTGGGACCCCACTGCTGTGCCCAGGGGTGTCCGGGACCCCATACTTGTCCCAGTTCCCAGGGGAGTGTGTAGGGCCCTGTCCCTATCCCCAGGGTTTGTGTGGGACCCCATCCCCAGGGTGGCGTCCAGGACCCCATCCCTGTCCCCATCCCCAGGGGTGTGCAGGACCCCATCCCTGTTCCCCTCCCCCAGGGGTGTCCAGGACCCCATCCCTGTCCACAACCCCAGGGGTGTCCAGGACCCCATCCCTGTCCCCATCCCCAGGGTGGCGTCCAGGACCCCATCCCTGTCCCCAACCCCAGGGGGGTGTGCAGGACCCCATCCCTGTCCCCATCCCCAGGGGGGTGTGCAGGACCCCATCCCTGTCCCCATCCCCAGGGGGGTGTGCAGGACCCCATCCCTGTCCCCATCCCCAGGGTGGCGTCCAGGACCCCATCCCTGTCCCCAACCCCAGGGGGGTGTGTAGGGACCCCATCCCTGTCCTCATCCCCAGGGCTTTGTGTGGGACCCCATCCCTGTCCCCAACCCCAGGGGGGTGTGCAGGGCCCCATTTCTGGGACCATTCCCACTGGGGTGATCTTTTGGGGTCCGTGGGGCCCAGAGCTGTCCCCCACCCACAGTGGGGGGTGCCCTGCCAGCAGTGGGGCTCCCCAGTGTCCCTGAGCCGTGTCCTGCCCCACAGCCTGGCCCCGGTCCCCAGCTCGTGGATGACCCCAGCCAGCACCTCCTGGGCCCGGATGGGCTGCCCCGGAGCCGTGCCTGACCCCGGTGACACTCGGGGACAGCCGGGACACGCCAGGGGGACTCTGCTGATGCCACAGGGGGACTCTGCCAGTGCCACCAGCGGGCCTCAGGACTCTGAGCCAGGCCTGCTGCAAAGCTGTCCCCAGCCCTGGGGCAGGATGTCACCCCGGGGCTGGTTTTTAATCTTTTGTAAGGAAATAGAGGATTCCTGGTTCCAGTGCTGTTTGGGGTGTCGGGTTCTGTGCGTGGGGCTGGGGGGGACAGGAGATGGGGACAGTCCCTGGTGCTGAAGCTGTTCCTCCACACAGCCCTGTCACCCCACATGACCCTGGGTCCCTTGTGGGGCATCTCCTGTCCTGTATGCCCCCAAGCTGTCACCGATCCTGTGCTTCCACACTGCCCCTGTCCCTTGTACGTGCCACATCCCCTGTCCCCTCCCTGTCCCTTGCAGGGCTGATCCTGTGCCCATCCCTCCGCTGTCC